GGAGGCCAAAGCTGGACATTACACCAGGTGTGGACTCACAAGTGCTAAACAGAGAAGCATTGCTTCCCTGGAACTGCTTGCTTTGCTCTCACTGATATGTCCTCTTGTCCTTCACACAGACCAAAACTGAACACTTACTGCTCTCTTACAATACACGTGGATTTGCTGTGATACAGTTAAGTGGAATCCCACTTCTTTTGTTGATATGAACTCAATACCCAAAGTTCAAATTTTAAACATTTTAAAGGTGTGATAGGCAAATGTGTATAACTGATATCAGCCTTAAGGGGTACTTCTATCTTTTTTTTTTCATCTCACTTTATAACTAACTAAAGATTGCAAATGCAATCTCCAAAGTTGGAAGAAAAAATGACATCTTCAACGAAATGTTCATTTTTGACATTCATATGAAAAACTGAAGTCAAGAAGGCTGCTGCAGATGGTCTCAGATTCGTTTTTGCTTTTATTTTCCAGGGCTTCAGCAATCGTCAATGAATTTGTTTTCTTTCTTTTTTCATTAATTTTAAATGTTCAAACTGTATGTATAATAAAATTCTAATCCTTAGAACCTTTTTCCCTTGCTGTCACTGAAGCATGGGTAAATCAGTTTCTGTCAATTTCTGAATACTTCAGCCAGGCATTATCCTAGTACTCATCCATGTATAACAAGATCTGTGTATGGCAGTGGCTGTTGCTTCTGTCAGAGGCACAGTATGAAACTTAGATAGACTATCCTGTCCTCTTCTATATATTTCACATTTTTAACAGTAGAAAATGGTTTTTCTGACAACAGCTGTGTCACATCACTCATAGTAGAAGTGGAAGGTCTCAGAAATCAGAAAATAGCAGAAAGGAATGCTTTGAGGATTGGTTAGAAAATTGACGGTGGTAGAATGGTCTTGTTCCACCTTGACAAATTTCCTTGTTTGTGACACTCAAGTTTTGTGGCATTATTGCTAAGGTGGTCCAGAAAGACAAAGCCAGTTCTGCTGTTGGTGGGATACCACTGTCTTCCTGCAAAGCACTTTGACTTCAAGCTAGGATGACTGAGATCGGGGATTTGTTCACGCACTGTAAAGTTTTCTCAGTGGGTCAGACTGACAGTCCACCAGCAGCTGGAATATCCACTGTGGATTTTATGACTTCTGAAGTGACTTCTAAGTAAAATGTCAGATACAGAACTGTGTTGTATCTGTGTTTATGCTTTGTTTGATGCCTCAGATAGGTCTGAATCTCAAAAAGTGATTTATATCTGCCTCTAGCCGAGAGCAGCATCACTTCTGTCTCGTCCTGAGATGGAAGGGAAGAGTAGGCAGTGGTATTGTATAGCAGACTTAACTAGGCCATGATTAAATGTTAGCAATTTGAGGAACAATTTTTTTATTTTTTTAATATTGCCTTTTTTCTTTACTACTATAAAACTTAAAGTCAAGAACACTTTCTTTGTGATGTGACACGCATATACCAATTTCATACCCTGCTTGATTTACTACTGTAGAATTCCTGTTGTTAGCTGAAAAATATTTATAGCAAAGTGAAAAAGCATAAAAAACGAATTCAACATTTTGATCAACCTCGTAGCAAGCAAAATAGTAATCCAGTGCACTGAAATTCAGCATAGAAAATTTTATGCTCCAAGAGAGTATATGGAAACAAGATACGCTAATAGCAAGCTGCATTTAACCTTACTCATAAACACTTTACACCAGCAATATCTGTGTTCTGTAAAAAAAAAAAAAAAAAAAAACATTATTTTCAAGTGGACTCTCATCAATCCTTTTCTCTTTATTTTTGCCTTTCCTCTTTCTTCATTGTAGTTTTCCTGCTGTAAAGTACATGGACAGAAGTAGCGTATGTTTTTCCCACCAATTGTCTGTTCATTTGTACACTGCATCTTTCTTCTGCATTTTCTACCAAGAGCAGCAGTGAAAGCCTAACGGGGATCATGTGGCCGTACATGCTTTTTCAAGCCTAACTACTGCTTGCCTATTCAAATAGCCAGCAGTCTGGCAGCAGGAAAGCTAGCATTATTTGTTGAGTCTTGTCTAGCGAAGTGAAAAGGGCTGATACTTTTTTTCTGGCTGCATTTTTGCACATGTGGGGGTAGGGAATGAAATTATTTCTTTTGTCCTTCACTCGCAGCTCATTGAGAAGCAGGCATGCATATAAAATTACTGTATCTCTCAGGACTTACCTTTAGGGACAGAAGGGAGGAAAAATAGATTTGTGAGCTTGCTTGGAAGTTCTCATGATGCTGAGTGCAGAAAGAAAAGTGAGAGGTAACATAACAAACCACAACAAATAAAGGATTCACAGCAATCTTTTAAATTAAAATAGTAACCCTTTAATTTTGTCCTTACTAAGAAATACTATATTGCTCAGTGTATCAAGGTAGAAACATTTCAAAACTGATATGTCAGCATCCAAGACAGAAGAGCATCAAAACATGAAAGAGAGCTTTGAAAAGTTACCACATGGTTTGGATAGTGTGAGTGATTTATATGATTGGTGATGTTTTTAACTACCACTGATGATAAGTATTACTGTGTTGTCATTTGAAGTGCCAGATTTAGGCTATCTGGCTAGTAACCTGCATGTAGCTTCAAGGTAACTGCTGTGTTGTGGTCTCCTGCTTGTTGAGGATATTTTGTTTAAAGAATACAGGAAGGTAGGAATGGAGGTTTTCAGGATAGGCACCAGATGCTAAAAATGAGTTCATTTGCAAAGATAGTTTATAATGATCTGTCCCAAACAAATGGGATGAATTAATGAAGTTTCTGGAGTATGTCATGTTACTGGTCTATATTGATATGGTCTTCATCCCTTAACTAATGATCTGTTGAAGTTGCAAACATTAGATATTAGGTATTAATGTAACTTAGTCAGTTTATTGAATGAATTCGAAAAAAATACAAGGAGTTCATTGCAATTAAAAATGGTCTAGTTTGGGAATTCATTTGTTCTAAAATAAATTGCTCATTAAGATTACTTTTCCATACTGTGGTTACAAACTCTGAGCTATGAAATGAGTACTTCACAGAAATTGATAGAATCTCTCATTTGACCTGCAAACTAATAATGTGTTAAACTCCTGGAAAAAATCTGGAGGAAAAAAATAATAATAATAATTCAGCTTATAAGAGATTTGAGGATTCTACAGGCACAGAGATACCATTATCCAAATTTCCAGCTTTCATTTAAACAAAGCTGGTGTTTTATGTATGTATAATATATATAGGCACTTTTTCTACAAAAATTGCACAGAACAGAACTTGAATAGTGTTTTAGAACTCACAGAAAAGTGAGGAATCTGAACCATGATCTCTGGGAGAGAAGACTAAAATCTTCTGTGCGTGTCATGCATTCTTTTTGCTCCTAACTCTGTACTTCACTGACCTAATTTAAAAAGGATTAAAAATGTTCAACCACTGCATAAACTGTTGGGAAGGGAAGAGTAGGGCTGGAGGGAAGCTGTGAAAGCAGAAAATCGTACAAGACAATGAAAGCAGAAATGCACATTCTTGTTATGGGATAATTTTCTCTTGACTGGCAGGTATGGGTGCTGTAGCTGCCTGGTGGGTGCAGAGCTAATAGGCTGAGAAATAGGCAGCTATTTTGTTTGACAGCATATACTTCTATTATTTTAATAAATGTTGAGTATTTTTCTACTCTCAGTCTGAGAGTAAGGACAGTTTGCCTCCAAGTATGGATGACAAAATTTGCCATTCAAAGGATTTGGTTTGGAGAGGAGGTATGATAAGATATGGCCATCTTCAGTCTGTGAAAATGTTCATGCTACATGAAACGCTGTTTTCTTGTAATGATGATTTGTGTACCATTTCTCCATATTTTCACAATTGACCAATTCATCCATTTGAATTTATTTAAAATCTAAATTCTTTAAAATTTTTGTTTCTCGAGATTTGGAAAAATCAGAGCTCAGTCAAACACTGAAATGAAAGCTCACGGTTGTTTACTTAAAAATCACGCCATTTGTGTTTCATGATGCTTAGTATTGTGTTAATAATATCCATAAGTAAATTCCTTGCTACTTAAGTGCTGAGTTCCATTAAAAAAAAAAAAAAGGTAGAGAAAATTATTATTATCATACAACAAAAAGTCATTTTGAAAAGAAGATTTTTCATTCCTTTCTTTATCCTATTTTTTTGATGGGAGTATTGAGGTTGCCTGCTATTTTCTTATGTCTTGGGGGTTTACTTTATTCTAGTAACTTTGTGTACTGCAGTGCATGAATATGTCTTGCTACTGCATATACTAAAACAAATTTCATAATCTAACATATTTAAACAGTGTCCGAAAGCAAGTATTACATTGTAAATAATTGTCTAATGATTGACAATAATATCTTCAAATTCAAAAAGCACAGCTTCATACTGCAAATTATACTGTAAAAAGTGATATTTTCGATGAATAGTCCTGTTGTGTGGCTTCAAGAGATCTTTCACACTCTGTACCTTTCATTCCCGTTTGGCATTCAAAGTCTCTTCTGATTTAAATTTCTGTAGAAGTGATCTTATTCACGCAAAGAAAGATTTGATCTATTGAGCTGCATGCTTTGATTTACAGCTTGGTAGTATCAATCAACTAAGCACTGGAGAAACTTTTGTCTTTTTAATTCCTAAGAATTTGCACAGTTTGGATAAAATACTTTTGTTAAAAGAATGAGTAGAATAAGTTTTTTGAATTCAGTGTTAAACTTAATGCAGGAATGCTGATTTCTCAGTGAACAAAAATGTAGTATCATTTTTTTCCTGTTTTACTAGTTCAAGATTTTTATGTAGCTTCAAACTGTGTATAATAAGTATATACCACTCCAAAACAAAGTCTATTTCTTGAAGTAAGCACCATGAATGCTCGTGAATTAGAAACAAAATTTGTTAAAAATGATTTTCTTTGCTGTTGCATTGTCTGCCTGTTGTGAACTACTTAAGATATCAAATTGATCTCAAATGTGTTTGTTTTATTTTTCTTGCATTTAGAACCAACTTACATAACAATAGGTCCACCCACGTGTGAGCTTTTGGTGAACTGCACTTTGACTGAGAAAGACTGTATCTATAGTTTCAAACTGGATCAAAATGGTTGCCGCATTTGTCAGTGCAAAACCAGTGAGTATGCAAAAATATGGTGCCATATACCTCTATATCCTGCTGTTGGTGAAGATGTTAGTATGCTGTTTTTTCTATTTGTTATGTTAATTGGCTGCTGTGTTACTGCACATATGCTTTCTAATTGTTCATCTTTAAAGGACAGGTTGATAATTTCTGACATTGCTTGCTTAAAATGTGTATGAAGAAAAAATTAAATGTATGAGTTCAGGTAAAAATGAACAGCTAGGTAAAAAAGAGAAAAAAAAATTATGATTTGTCATTTAACATTAATGTCAGTGTACCTTTTTTGTCAGGGTTGCACACTTTAAAAACTCCTGTTTGCTAAACATTCTATTTTTAGCATAGTTTACTGCTTTTGAGGATCAAAAAATTTTGAAAATAATACTTCTAGGGAATATATGTTTCTATATAAACATATATATACATATATAATAAACATAGCCACATGTAATTTTATTTATGTAACATATATGAATACATTTTGTGTAAGATTTATACAGGCTTTTATTTGTGATCTATTCTACCCGTAGAAAAAGCATTGAACCTTGTGAGAACTTTGCATTTATCAGCGATAATAGTATCTTCAAAGAACAGCTGGAGAAGTGTGCTTTCTCTATGTATTTCCTAAAGAATTCAACCTTTATGCATGAATTATAAAGCAAGGTCAGGTTTGTTCCTGGAATTATCAAACAAGAACCTGGAGGGCAATTCAGCTGGAGGACAATATCTCTTACGGCCGCCAGCTCAGCTAGGAGTGGTTTAAAGTCCCTTTATAATTTTATTGTAGCTCTGCATCTTTCTTGTTTAGGGATTGGCTTGATGTTTTGCTTAAGGAGAAAAAAAAAAAAAAAAAGGTTTATTTCTGGTGCCTTTATCTTTTTTTTTTTTTTTGGAAAATGTGCATTTTTTTGTTTCCGTGTTGATATAGGACAGGAGACCTCAAATAAATTTATGTCATTATCATAATACAGAAATAATATTTTCAAGTACAGGTTGTGTTCCTGGCAGGGGTGACCTTCTTGAAGTTTCCACAGGAACTTGACAGAGGACCACATCTATTTCCTACTTTTTAAAATTTGGATAGGAGTTTCCCCTATTTATGAAACATGCAGAGCTGTTTATATCATTTCTTTCAGATTTGTGTAAGTTGTGTCCTAGTTGATTAAGTGTGTTACCTACTAGTTCATGTTGTTTCAACTATGCACAACAGCAGTGTGCTGCACAACCTACATCCTCTAGGGAAGAGTAAAGAATTCCATCTTAGGATCATATGACTCAATGATCAGTTTGGGATAAAGCAACTAGAAGAGTTTATACAACAGAGAAATGGTGCCTTGAAATGAAGTCATAAGCTGATGTGTCAGAAGTATCAGTGGATAAAAGAAAAAGCACCGTCTGCAAGGGTAGATAAGGCACATACTTTATTGCCATCACGTACATGCCTTGCCTACAAAATTAGAAAGTTCTGCTTTTACCATTGTTTGATTTTTTCTTTTTTATTGGTGAAGTATTAACTGGCGTGAGGAGGAGCATTTTCTGTAAGGAGTTTGACAAAGAAGATGGACATACTCATCAAGTTTCCGCATGCATACCTGTGTGTGCAGTCCTGCCCTCCAGTTTATTGCGCAGGAGGCCCATCACTCCAGAGTATTATGTCTTTTGTTAGACTATCAGGTCATACATGTATGCTTACTGCATCCCAGGACGTCCCTGTGCTTTCTTGCAGTGTTTCTGATTAAGTACTGTTTAAGAACCTATTCAAGGAGATTTTTCTCTTTCTCTCAGATTTGCTTGCAATTATTTTCATTTTGCAGTAGCAAACTGTCAGAAGCAAACTTAATAGTATCATTTGTCTGTCATCCTTTTTCTTAGTTGAATAACTTGAATTGTAGACTGCTTAAAAATCTCCCAAGTTGTTCAGAAAGGAGAAACCTTTATTTACTAAAGAAGGGAAGAAAAATTACAGCTTGGTAGTCTTCATCAATGGTGGCATATCAGTCAAAATGACAGGGATAGAATTTTTCTGTCAAATAATGTTTCTCATTTGCCAGACTGGACAAATGACTGAATGACGACCAAGAAGAAAACAATCTGAGGTCACATATAATGAAAACATACTGTTGTAGTTCTCTGTACTTTCAAGTCTAAACTAATTCAGTTGCATCTTGGCTCTCTAAAAATGTAAGAATGTGTATTATCTTGGGTTCACACAGACACATGTGGATTTACATTTAAATTAATTAGAGAGTATCAGTATCCTTACACTCACTTCTTTTTTTCTATCTGAGCTGCTCAGCTGAGTCACATTTACCTGAGTACAGAAGATGCACGTACCTCTTATTACTGTTTGAAGTCATCCAAGTTCTGCTAATGTCCTTCCAATGGCACTTCCATTTTTGCTAACTTCTCTTTAGCTACCTTCCCTGAGATGTATATACTTCTATTCATTTCAGTCAGAATAAAAGCAAAATTACAAAGAAAAGGAAGAAAGTGCAGCAAATCTGTAAATGGTTCCTCACTGTTATCTTTATTTATATTTCTGTAGCTAAAAAAGCTATACAGCGGGTTTATTTGACATGATAATGTAATGTACATATGGTATCATGAAGCTTGTATGGTGCTTTATTGTAATTTGGATTCAAGTTTATCCAGCTCGTTTCGAATCAACTACAGAATGAGAGAAGAAAGGAGGAAAACAAATGGTAGTTTCTCGAAAACAATGGTTTTAGTAGAAGGATACTTTATTCTTCTTCCTTGTTTTTGCAGTGAATGCAAAAACATGCTTCAGAAACATGTAGTGAAAACATCCTCGGTGTAAAGTAAAATTAAAAAAAGCAGGGGCAGTTGGTAGTTTTAAGAAAAAACTAGCACTGAACGTAGAATTATCCTAGTGGTTGGTTACCCTGCCCGTGGCAGGGGGGCTGGAACTAGTTGATCTTTAAGGTCCCTTCCAATGCAAGCCATTCTATTATTCTGTGAGTGAGCACAGATTAATAAAACAAAAAGTTACAGTGAGTAGCGATGGAGCCACAAATGATCAGGAAAAAGGAATGATAACACTGAGCAAGAATGTACAGAAGCCAAAGCACTACATGAAGATGAGAAGAAGAAAAAAGAATAGCCCATGTTATAGGAAGAACTGCTGCAGAACTCCATCAGTTAAACTGAGTCAGTATTACTACAATAGAAAAAAAATGAAATACGTAAGAACAAGAAACAACTAGGAAAAAAAAAATGAGCAAGCAAAAAATTATTACTTGTAGAGTGCAGCAGTTGCAGTTGTGTTTCGAGTGTCTAGGCTAGTGAGTGCTTTCATAGGGAGAAGTGAAGTGGATTAAAATCTTTGGAAGGAAGAGTACATAAGAGGAATGAAATAAAACCAGTGATTAGATATTTATGAGGCAGGACTCCTGGTGCTCCAAAGAGGACTAACCATCACATTGAATAATGCCTGCTGATTGCAGTAAATTAAGATTTAAAGTCTGAAAGTTGCTGCTGAACAGTAAATCATTTTTTGCTGAGAGCCTGCAGTGAGAGCCAGTAGCTTATCTGGTCTTATCTGTTCCCCGTATTAAATTCATGAAAAGGAAAAAGACATTAAAATCTTTCCTGTAACTTCTGTGATAGACTGCAGTCTTTTATCCTAAATGAGTTGAATGTGAAGTACTATTCAGTGTATAACTGAGAATGTTTTGGCTATACATTTCAGATCTTATTAAAATTAGAACATTTCTGTAAACTTAAAACCTGCTTGCTTCATGCAGAAAGCTTAGCTTTGCAGTTACAGAAGGCCATTGTCAAACAATTTCCTTAATTCCAAAAGTGATCTTGGAGAGATGCAGTTGTAGGAGGCTATAGAGAAAAGGTATTTTTCTTGCACACTATAGCATGTTGTCATCTTCATCCTGTTGTGGTCTGTTTTGTTTGTCAAAGCAAATCATGAAATCAGGATTCAAAGAGTAGAATTCTGTGTATGTTGCATGTTTGAATAGTTCTGTAGACATGAAATACCCCCTCTCTTCCAAATACATTCTATACAAATACAGAAATATTTTTGATTTTTTTTATACCTTTTCCTTAAATGAGTAGAACATATCCCTATAATGGAGTTTAAGAGTTTGGTACTGTCAGATATCTGCAGCATGGACTTCAGTATTGTGGTGAGTCACACCATCTCCCTTCATAGCTGATGAAGACGAGTGGAACTCCAGTGTGAAGTTTGGATTTAGCAGTGTGAGAGTTGGATTAGCTGTGGGGTATTCTAAGGCAGCTGTGGAAGACTGAAGCACAGGATTGGAAGGTCTGAGAAAAGTAATGTAGGTTTATCTATTGCCATCTATGAGCAGCAGTGTTGAAGCTCTGAAAAAAAAAATATGGCCTAATGATGAGGAAAAAAAAATGAGAGAATATATCTCAAATAATCTTTTCTGTGTTCATCATTCAGTTGTTACAGTTTTGGATGAGTTTTCCTAATCTTGCAGTCTTACTGGTGAAAATTCAAACATTTGATCCCTTTAATCTATTTGTGTAAAATAATAATTATAATAATAATAATAAACTTTAACTATGCATTCTAAGCACTTTTGAGCTCTATCAGTGTTAATGTGATCCATTTAAGTAAACATATTTTATGTGTTTTTGGATATTGAACATGAGATGGGAAAAGTAGTCACGGTATTCACATTTTAGACAATTTATAATTCTTGGAAACAGAAAGGTAAATAGGAATGAGGTAACATTTTCCATTCTACAGTTGTTATTGTGATTTAACAATAAGTTCCATGGAACAAAAAGGAAAAGATGAAAACAGTCTATTGGCTTTTTTTTTAGCACAAGGAGAGAGCATCTTGAGTTTTTGAATAATAAGGTAGATCTGGCAGATAATGTATATTTGATTATCTTCCTGCAGTGGTATGAAAAGAAATGCCTAGTATCTATTAGACTTCTGTTAGTGAAATGCAGCCATGAGAAACCGGAGATGAAGCGTATTTCTTTTT